CCGGAAACTGTATTTTGACCCTGAAGGCAAGTAATACTTAAGATATTTAATAAAGGGTTCGAAACAAGAGTCGAGGAGAGAAAACACAGCTAGCTGCCTTTTCCTTCTGTATTCTCAGCTGCTGCATTGCACATAGGAGGACCCGATGTACGTGGGTTTATAAAGCACCTCCTGGATTCCCTGATTTATACTCAACATAGTGGGGAAAGAAATATGGGAAAGAAGGGAGGCATAACCAGCATTCATTAAGAACCTATTATGTGCCAGATATTCGGGGCTGGGGTCGGGGTACATGTCCCAAGTTCAAGAGGAAGTGTGGGGAAAAATGGAATGATTGTATTCAGACACGCTTGGGTTCAAACCTCAGCCTACTTTCATAATATTATCTAAGCCCCCTCTTCTCCCATTTTGTGGATGACAAAACTAAGGCTCAGAGAAGAGAAAATAATTTGTCTGTGGACACAAAGCTCTTAAATGGTAGAAATCATCTTCTAAACTGGGTCTGTGAGTCTCCCTAGGGTAAAGAAATTTGGGTTAAATTTATGTCCTCAGGGGCTGAGTTTCCCCACCAAGGAGGGGAGCAAAGACACCCATTCTCGGAGATCACATCCGCATATCCTAAGCAGGTACCACTTTCTCGCAGACCAGTCCCTTTAACCACCTCCTGCCACTTGCCTTTGAGTCCCGCCCGTTCGGGATTACAAAAAACCTGCTTCTGGTCCAGGCTGGTCCTCTCTGCTATTGTTTACTTTAAAGAAAGAAACCACCACCCGCCCAGAGGACTTGTATTTCCAGCTCACTTACATCTCTTTTGCAAGGGTTCATTTTCATAGACTCCCAATCTCCAGGGAGCTGTGTCTTTCCCTCGGAAACATGAGCTGTAATCAAAGGTGTATTCATCCCCGCACATCTGCCAGCAGCCACGCCGGAGCCACGGTTCCCCGAGGCCTGACAGAAGGAGGCTCAGGCCAGGTGCCCGGGGAGAATTTTTCCCTACACAAATCAGATTGTCCCGTGGTTGCCCTTTGTAGAGATGGCAGAGTCCCAGGCGGTGCTTCTCAGATTGCTGGAGGACCTGATGGGGCCAGGGGTAAATAAGATTCCACCCTCCGTTCAACAAATACTACTGAGGGCCACCACGTGTGGAGAACTGCAGACACTGAGAATCCAACTCTTTTGGTGACTTCCCGTCACTCACAGGGATAAAGACCCAGCTTCTTAAAGGCCAGCAACTCCCTGGAAGAGCTGGTGCTTGCTCTTTCTCTGCCCTGCTTGGCTGTGGCCACCCCAGCCAGCTTCCATTGCTTGGTGACCAGTATGCCTCCTCCCCCTCGGCCCCATACACGCTCTCTCTGGCTTTCTCGATTCTTCCTTCCCCTCTTGGCGAGGTTTGCTGCTGCCTGCCTTTCAGGTCCAGCTCCCCGCCCCGGCGCGCCGCCCCCCCCCCCCCCCGCCACCTCATCTGCCATATCCTCACGTGCCTCTCCTGGCGATCTCGCCACCATTGCATGTCCTTCAGGTAGCACCATCACGCCACTGGAGTCTCTTATCCAACCCAACTGCAAGGGCAGGGCTCACCTTATGTCCCCAGCACTGGCCCATAGTCAGTGCCCCACAGTTATCGGAGGAATGAAGAGACAGCAGTGAGCAAATCAGACACTGCCCTGCCCGGTGCTGGGCACATCTTTGTGGAGTGCTGATTGTACTTGACAGTTTTCAGGGGGAAATATTTGGGAGCAAATACAGATCAATTCTAGAGTAGAATTCAGTGTCCTGGTGAACGTTCAAGGTGTCGTTCTGCGCCCTCACACGTTGGGGAGGTTATGAACTCAGCTTCCTCCGTGCTCCTGGCGGCGTCTCAGTGGAAGACCAGGTTGGGGGTGATGGGAGAGGTGGCCCAGTTTGTCAGCAGCTCAAGTCATGGAGCCAAAGTTTAAGAGGCAGCGGGGTGGGGGTGGGAGCGGGAATGGAAAGACTGCACTCAATCAGGCCTGAGCTCAAACCTCAGTGCTGGACATTTTACGCTTATGACACGTGGCAATGTACTTAATCACTCTAAGGTTCTAAGGTTGAGGTCTGTTGTCTGTAAAAGGGGTATAAGGATACGTGCTCGTCAGACTTGCTGCGGGAAGGACAGACAAGCCATGTGGAGGGCCCAGCTCAACGTCTGGCGCAGAGCAAGCACTCGGGAAGGGGTGGCCTTTGTACCCGTCACTCGCTGCTCGCTCTTGTGAATTAAAGACTGTTGTTGGTGTCCAAAGTGGAACATTTTCTGGAGCAAAGACAGGCAACTTAAGGCTGCACTTCTGGCTGGCAGAATGATGGCTGCACAGAAGTGGCCTGTAGTTTTCCACCTTCTTTGAAGTTGACCTTCCTCTCTTGTATCCAGTCTGCACTGGCCCTGGCCTGAGTCAGTCACTCCCTAGCAGTGTCCTCCATGGGTTCCTCACCCTCTCCTCCATATGAGGCCATCACCTCGGGACATCATGACCTGTTTACTAGAATTTCTCACTCATCTGCTAAACGTTTGCCGAGTGAAAAAATGGACTGGAATAAACTACGTGAGAGGGGATGACCCTGGGGAAGGGTGTTTTTCTTCTTCTACAGACCGTTAAATCACCGTTCCTCTTTTTCCCCCTGCAGTTGTCTTGCCATCTGGTAGGTTTAAACTAGGCCAAAAGGGAATAGGAGGGACCTGTAGGGAAAATCCTACAGGCAGATTTTTCCTCATTGGGATTTCGCGCCGCGTGACCATTTTCTGGGGGAAGGAGTTCTGAGCCGGGAAGACTGGAAATGTGTGCCCATTAAGAGCTTGAAGGACAGTGAAAAGCCCTTTACTTCATTTATACTGCTCGCGATGAAAGCTGCCATTTCCACGTGCAGGAACTGCGGTCGGCACCGTGGCCTTGGATCCCCCATGCAACCCAAGGAAGCAGGTTCTGTTTAGAGCCCCACTTGGCTGCTAAGAAAACCAAGGTCCCCGGGAGGGAGGTGCTTGGCGTCAGGGCACAGCACAAGCGTGTGAAAGAACCAGGACCAGAACCAGGACCAGACTCAGACGTCCTGTCTCCAAGACCTATGCTCTTCCCCCCATGCTGGTTAGGAAGGATCCAGTGTCTAGTGGGTGATGCTGCAGAGCTGAGCTCCAGGATAAATGGGGAAGATGTAACAGATCCATTGAGACTCCCCAGCTCTGAGAAGACTTCACGGTGCGGCCCCAGCCAAGCCCCACTCCACGCCTCTGTGCTCAAGAAGCACCCAGTCAGCTGAGGGTGATAATAAGTATTATCAATAATAATAGTAGCTATCACGCCTGATTACATGATTCTCAGCGTTTTGTATGTGTTACCACCCTGGGTCCTACAGGGTAACTCGGGGTTAATTTGGGGAAGAGGGAGAACAGAGCATTGAAGAGAGAGGGTCTAAGATAGCATAGCCATATGGCTGCAGGGGGCGTAGTGGGTTCAAGAAGCTTAGGCATCCGTGAGCCCAGAACACAGTGGGGCAAAGGGAGCGGGGAGCAATGAGCAGGGGGCAGACCTCACAGGCTCCAAGACCCTGCGGTAAGGAGTGTGGCTTTCTCCTGAGACAAATGGGGTGTTCATTAACTGCTCCCACCTGTCCCACCTCTATGTACATTGTCCTTCCTCACATTCAGTTTATTACGTATCTTTCTCCTTTTTTATACCGTGAGTTTCCTAAGGGTAGGGATTGGGTCTTATTTACGTATGTATGTATGTATTTATTTATTTATGGCCATGTGGTGCTTAGCACAGAATCAGGTATATATGGATAGTCAATAAATGGTTGTTCATCAGATATTTAAAATATCCAACATTTAATAATAGTGACATGTTCAATATTTAAAAACTATATATTATATATTGGTTATATATAGATTATTAGTACCTGTAATATAACTTCCTTTATGCAGGCATTTCTGCTCTAAAATGATATATGCGTGCCTGTAAAACCCTGTACTCTGAAAAATTCAAAAATCACAGCGCTTTGGGGACAATTGGGCTGTAGCAGAGCATTCACGATTCATGTGACTCTGTAATGAAGCACAATCCAAGTGGTGATACCAAGCAGAGTTCAAAGGGCATGATACATTTTGGATGAGGGGCTTCCCTGGTGGCGCAGTGGTTGACAATCCGCCTGCCAATGCAGGGGACATGGGTTCGATCCCTAGTCCGGGAAGATCCCACATGCCGTGGAGCAACTAAGCCCGTGCACCACAACTACTGAGCCTGCACTCTAGAGCCTGCGAGCCACAACTACTGAGCCCGCATGCCGCAACTACTGAAGCCCACGCGCCTAGAGCCCGTGCTCCACAACGAGAGAAGCCACCGCCATGAGAAGCCTGCGCTCCGCAGCGAAGAGTAGCCCCCGCTCGCCGCAACTAGAGAAAGCCCGCGCGCAGCAACAAAGACCCAACGCAGCCAAAAATAAAATAAATAAAACAAATAAATTTATATTAAAAAATTTGGGTGAAAACAAATATAGCAATAACTTTAGGACCTGAGTAACTTAAAGGACAATATATTATTTTTAAAAGGGGTAAAACTTGATGGAAGGGGCTAGAGAAGGCTGGAGGCTGATGGGTTTAGAGACAGAAGGGGTCAGATCATCTTTATCAGGAGTTCCCCGTGGAAGAGCAGTTTCAGGCTCTGCCAGAGTGTAGCAGGGACAGATGGCTTCTCTAGCCCATGGCCTTTGCACAAAGACCAGGAAGAACCGAGCAACAGGAGTGGCTAAGACAGAGCACGTGACCACTGGAGCCCAGAGGAGGAGCTGGGAGGGCGGAGTCCCCCGTGGCTTGTTCTACTCAGCTGTGTGTACCTTGCATCCAGCCACCCGCACTTGGTGGTGCACAATATGAATGTGCTGGGAACATTTGCCTATGAACCAGTGCAAACTCCAGGTTTTATCGATCCCTCTATACCTTATATACACTAATCTTCCTCATGGAAGCAAGTGCAGCAGATCAAACATTACATAATGGAATACATGACTAACTGATAAACCAAGAATGCCCACTGGCCAGTTTACATCAAGTAAGGTACCAGTCACACACCCTGTGTGAGGCGTAGACTGTTCTCCTCTTGGTTCATGAGTCTATTCAGTAAACCCGTTCAGTGAGCAGAAGGTAAAGCAAGACATATGGAGTGGGTGACACTAAGCAAGGGCATCATAAACCTGTGATGTGATCGCTTTCCCCATCAGAAGCAGCTGAGCTCACACTTCTGGACATGGACTTAGAGGACCTCAACCCCAACCTGCCTGAAAGCTGTGTGGCCTCAGGAGAATCACTTAACCTCTCTGTGCCTCAGTTTCCTCAACTGCAGAGTAGCACTAGTGACCCTCCCCAAGTTCTTTGAAAGAGCAGATTAGCTGGTGGATGAAAAGTTCTCTCTAAACTATAAGGGGCTTTAGAGAGTATTGTCCTTCCTGCAGATCAGTGCTGGGACGCTCGGTTTAGCTTGCCTCCTAGGGTACCTTCTCCTGCTGTATGGCTAGTTCTAAGGGCAGAGGGCAAATGCAGCTAAACTGGAATCAAACAAAATAAATTAATCACTGGGATTCAATGCAGAAGCTTGAATGAGCTTCGGGAAATTTTGCTGGTATCCGACGGCCTCTGTGGAGCCCCTGCGTCCACAGTATCTGATGCCTCTCTCTGAGTGCTCACCCGGCAGCCTCCGTCTCCAAGCCTGAGGTCATCAGCCGACCCCTGGCCCACTGCTCTTCCCCAGGCCCCTCCCACCAAGCCAGGCCCGCCTGTCCCATCAGCCTCTCATCTTGCTTCCCCAAAATCGTGCAGAGGAAAGGAACACCGATTCCGGAATCACAGGAACACGGGTTTAATGAGCTCTACCACGCAGCAGCTCTAAAATCATAATAGCCAAGCTGTGGTTTCTTGAACCTATTTCTTCACCTTGGGAATGGGCTACAACTTCCTGACTTCCTTCTTTCCTTCTCTGATTAAGAGGATTAGAAATACACACTTTGCAGACTTCAATGTGCCCAGGAATCACCTGAGGAGCTTGTTGAAAAGCAGGTTCTGATTCTGTAGGGCTGAGTGGGGCTCGAGAACCGCCCCTTCCAGCAAGCTCCCAGGTGATGCGATTTCAGTTTTGACTATGGATCCGGGGTATGAAGCGCCTGCCATATAGTATGTACTCAGTCAGTAGAAACTTGCCATGAAGACTTTCCCCGCAAAGGGTGCTCCTTTGAGAACAGCGATAGGTGAATAGAGAAACCTCTGCTCCCCTCAGAATTCTGAGGGCCACAAGAAAAAACAAGTCTGGCTTTAAAGGTGGGCAGGGCGTGGGGAGGGAGGAGAAGCGTGGCCCCAGCAGCCACTCATCAGCAGGCTGTCCACGCTCACGTGTGCGTGGCAGGTGGGCCTCTGCCGGGCTGCAGAAACCTCTAGAGCTCAGGCCTCGACTTGCCATGCAGGGGACGCATCCTCCGAGCCGGGCGCACGCATGTTCCTCCGGCTACCGCTCTCCTGAGGAATTTTCAAAGCGCACAGGGCTCGCCTGGCGGTAGTCTCCCAGGATGGAAATCCACGTCGGGGGCTTTTGTTTTCAGGACTGCGGTATCTTTTGGACTTGAGGCCTTGCGTGCAGAGCTTTTCCCCTCCACCCTCACCAACGTGGAGCCGTGAACCCCCGCTGCTGCTAGGAACGGACACCAAAGACTCAAGGAAACCCGGAGTGGGGTTCAAGAGACGCCTCCCCAGCCCCACCCAGCAGATTTGGCTTTTAGTTTCGCTCTTCTAAAAGGCCTGCTTCTCAAAAAGCTGCTGACTCACCCAGAGTAAGGGTCTCTCTTTTTTTTTTTCTTCTCAGCATCGTCCCAAAGCCCTGAGATTCTTGAGGGCAGTTCAGCGAGCACCCCGGTCCTGACCATTTCCTGTTTCTTTCTCCTCCCCATCTCCATCCCAGGATCCTAGCACCTTAATCCTTCTAGAAATGAGAGTTGAACCCCCATTTGCTTTGTTCTGCCTTTAATATTGAGTATCTCTTCTTTGTAGGTCTTGACGCACTGTCTGCTCTCAAAGTGTAAAAAGATTCCCAGGATGTAAGCAATATGGGACTGGTGAGTGACCCGTGTGTTTGGCGGAGGTCGGGGCCTCAGCTGGATTTCAGGAAGGGAAGGGAGATGAATGGAAGGGGCAGGGGCGGCTGAGCTTTTGCGCCCCTGAAACGGTTTCCCTCCAGATGCAGCTGGAAACAGTGCACAGTGCAGAGAATCCAGGTGTGAATCCCTTGGAATTCACTGGGTCCCTGCCCGTCCCTCCCCAGAAGCAAAGGGAGAATGCAGGTGGCTGTGCCGACCTCTCTTTGCTCAGATGACAACAACTCAGGCTCCCCATCCGGAGGGTTCATGCTGGGAATTGTTCTCTAACCCGGTAACCAGGGTTAGGGACATATGCTTGGACTAGAGAGGGAACTACCAGGCTCACACCAGTTTGTAAACCATAGCCCTGAGGAGACATGAGTAAAAGGAGGCGAGAACGCCACCTTTGCACCTTTGAACGGCTGTCACTGGCAAGAGGGCAGCTATCGACTCAGCCTAAGGAGAAATTCCTAACAAGAGGTTGGCAACGGTAAAATCGACGTCCGTTAGAGGTAGTGAGTTCCCTGTCGCTGGCAGAATTCAACCACAGGTTGGAGAAGCATGGATGGGAAATGTTGAAGTGGGGAGGGGTTTTGACAGGGTAGTTTTGTTTGTTTGTTTGTTTGTTTGTTTGTTTTTGTGGTACCCGGGCCTCTCACTGCTGTGGCCTCTCCCGTTGCGGAGCACAGGCTCTGGACGCGCAGGCCCAGCGGCCATGGCTCACGGGCCCAGCCGTTCCGCGGCATGTGGGGTCTTCCCGGACCAGGGCACGAACCCGTGTCCCCTGCATCGGCAGGCGGACTCCCAACCACTGCGCCACCAGGAAAGGCCCAGGGTAGTGTTTTACAGGCTGTTCTGTGATGACTAAGAATCCCGGAGGAGCCGGAGGATGAGGGAGAGAGTTTAGGGAGCGTGAATGAGGGGAACTTGTGAGCTCACACACACACTCTCGACGCTGCCTGTTTTATGGGGCAGGGTGCTGCCTTAAAACAGTTTAGAAGCTACTGGCTGAGACGGTCTATCCTCAGACCTGTTGTCCATTGGCCAACTGTACCTGAGCTTATGACAGACGTCCACACATCGCACTTGTGACCCCAAATACCTGATCTGTGTGAAGGGGTGGGCAACTCTCCAAGCACGGTAGGGGCTCTGACCAGAGGCTCGAGGGAGCTCTCCCCCATACTAGGACCACCAAAAGAGTTGCCAGTGAGTCGCACTTTCAAGAGACTTGCCCGGGATCCCGACCACACAGACCAGAAGGAAAGGCACCGGGTTGGGGTGGGGGGATGCTGCCGCAGGATTCCCCGAACCCCCAGACTGTGGGAGGACGGTGAGCATGGCTTCCCCAAGGGCGCTGGGCTCCTTTGGTAGGACCACATTCTCCAGTGACCAAAACCTGGCCCAGTGAACGTGAGAGGAGTCATACCACAGATGCCGGTGGCGAAATTGCCCAGGAGAGACACCCATTGCAAGGGAGAGGGTCTGAAGGTCTGAATAATGAGCACGGGGGCTTCCTTTGTGCTTTGTAACTGGGTCTTCTTCCCCCGGGCCTGGGTCAGCTGCAGCACAAAATGGGCATCGAGGGCAAGGCGCTGTGGGAGGCCAGAGATGGGGTTTTTCTTTAAGAAACTGAAGCCTGGACGAGAATCGAGTTTGACAGTCATTGTGCAGAGGCTGTACGTTCAGCTGAGTCCCGAGTGCTATGCGGTGGGCGGACGGGTGGGAGAGGAAGGGGAGGGGGCTGAACAGGAGCTTCAGCTGTGACTCGATGCTTCCTTGGCAAGTCTTCAAGCATGAGCTGGGCTTTGAGGACAGAGGCTGTGTCCTTGATTCAAAGGACCTGGCATATAGTAGGTGCTCAAGAAGTGATTGTCGAATGACTAAAAGGGAAAGTGAAGAGGTGGCAGCTCAGGAGGCCGTGTCTGTGGTTAAGAGCAGGGCCCCTGGAGTCAGACGGCAGGGTTCAAATCCTGCCTCTTCTGCTAGCTGTGGGGCCTCAGGCAAGTCGCCCACCTCTCTATGCCTCAGTCTCCCCATCTGCAAAATGGGCGTCATGATAGTACCTACTGCATAAGGGGGCTGTGAGGAGTCCATGAACTGATTCATGCAAAGCCGCTTGGTCCTGTGCCAGCACATCGTAAGTGTTCAATAAACATTAGCCCTTATTCTCATTCTAGATGTGGGGCATGACCCCAGATTAAGGTTCAGTGTTGGGACGGGAAATAGCAACATAGGTGGGAGGACAGAGCACTGGATGGGGAGTCAGAAGCCCTGGCTTAGCTGCAGGGAGGGGATGAGGAAAGTGATCACTCCCCCTGAGCTCACTCTACAGCAGAGATGCTGCAAGAAGGCGGTCAAGGGCAGCTCCATTTTTCCTGCTCTCCCTCTGGTGGTCCCAGCACTGGTTCAAAGGCAGGGGCAGCTCAGCCCTTTATTACTAGCTGGGGGCCTCATGGTGAGTGGTTTGACTTCTCAGGACCTCTCTTTCTCCCAATAAATGAGAAAACAATGCGGGCGTCCTTCCCTCGCAGAAGTGAAAAGCACGGGTATGAGGGTCTGTTGGTACAGATGGAAAATCGTTTAAGACTTGAGCTTGGGTAGCCCAGTCTGGAGTCTCACAGTCAATGTCGGTTCCCAGTCCCTTCTCCAGTGAGGCCTGGCTGTCTCAAGACAGATTCTCAAAACGATGCTTCACTTCGCAAAAGGCACCATTCACCACCCAGGATTTGTAGCATATTTCAAATAAAATGGCATTTGCCTGAAGCATTTGTCAGGGTCACATTTCTTGCATTAGTGGTAGACCTGGGACTATGGAACAGGCTTACTCGGGGGCCTACCTTTTGCCTCTCCTGCCCCATCGCCCTGTGATCCTAGCTGGAATTTAATACGATGGTCGTTTAAGCCAAAATTGTTTATGGCATAGGCACAGCCCCTATGCCTATGGGGATCCTAAAAACTGTCACTCATATCAGTCTCCTTCTCCCTATGTACCCCCTAACATCTGCCAAGCGACCCCAACTTCAGTTCTACCTTCAGTGGGAAGGGGACAGGGATGAGGCAGGAAACAGCTTCAAAGGCAAAACGGTTAGAAGAGGTCCCAATTCCTGGCTCCGTCAGCCATTTGGCATCTCTCAGCTTGTGTTCCACCTCTGTTCCCATGAGGCGACTGGGCTAGGTCAGGGCTGGCAAGTAGATTTCATCTCCCGCCCATTCTGATCAATTGGTCACGGCTGCCAGGGGCACTGTGTGGAGAAGGATTCTGAGGCATACCCAGGAGAGAGTGTGCTGCAATGGATTAGTGATGTCTGCTGGGGAGCAATAAGGAGGACGTAGCACATGTGCTACCTTTTGGCATCTGAGACAAAGCAATTTCCAAGGCCCCTGCCTGCTCTCACACTTCGTGCTTCTACCTAGCAGCCTTGTTTTACATCAGAGAGGCAAAGCACAGCAAAACCTCATTAATCTGGACCACTTTGGTACCAAGCCAAGCGAGTGAAAAGTCTTAATCTGAGGGTGTCTTCTGCATGCAGGTGAGCTCTATTATCCTTCAGTACACGGAGTCAGCTCAGCCCAGCTAGCTGACAGGTGGGGAGGGGAGGCAGGAGCCTCGGCGGTCTGTGCTTGCACGTCTGACCGTATGGCTGAGCGCACCTGACCTGTACCTCTAGGGCACTTGCTCTGTTTATGAGCTTAGGATGGATACCAACGAAACTCTCCCAAAAGCAGGACGTTTTCTGAAGTAGCAAATCATTCCGTGGGCAGCTTTGCTTCTATTTCAAATTGCCAAGGGCTCTGAATTAGAGAGACTTCACCGCACTAGCTGGGAATAAGCTGCGTTTCCAGAATTATATGCAGAAGATGAGACAAAGTAGTTCAGAACTAGGTTTCCCCCGAGTTTCCCGATCTGTAGAATGGGGATATAATATACCTCACAGGGCTCTGCAGGAGAGCAAATGAGATAAAACGTGGAAGAGACCTAGCAGAAGATCTTGTTCACAAAATATGGTCAAAAGATGCTGTTTCTTCTCCCCTTCTATCACTTCCCATCCATAGTCACCCTGAAAGAAGAGCTTTCTTATAATACGAGAAAAATGAAGCTACAGATTTTTTTAATAGTACCGTACTTTCAAATGACTCCTGTTCGTTTTTCAGAGGCTCATTTTTCATTGTTGATGATTCTCCAATAGAAAAGGTCCACTTAAACCTTCAACTTGAGTTACTCTACTCTCGGTCTTCTGCAGGGAGTAGCTGATGCCCCAAGGGTCCTAACATGCATGCGCACGAGTGTCTTGGTAGGGGGTGTCTCTGGAGGGGACTGAACCCCACAGTGACTAGACCACGTCTTCCCTTCAGCTCAGCAAGTGTCAACACCCGAATTCACTCCCACTGCAGGGAGAGTGCGGACAGCCAAGGTGGTTGAACGCCAAGTTGGCACCAACTGAATTTGAGTGGGAGCGTGTCTAAAGGATGGGCTTTACCTGTTCCAAATGGGGAAGAAGTTTGAACTGGAACTCCTCTTTCAGCCTTAGTTTCTGAGACTCTTCAAGAGAAGGATTCAATTTATACTTAAATAAACATCAAGAGCATTAAATCGATATGAAGGGGGGATTGGAACTCATATGCAGTGGGAAGAGCAGAGCCTCTGGTCACAGAAGCCGAGGGCGGGGGGAGGGCCTGCAAGCCCAGGTGGCTCATTGGGACTCCTGGGTTGTTAGCCCAGAGCTGGCTTCTCAGGGGGCACCAGGCAAGTGCATGCCTGTTATTCTGGCCACCTTGAGCATCTGTCCCCAGTCTTCTCCAGCCCCTGGCCTGGTGAGCTGGGTCAGATAACCTCATGCTTCTCTTCTCTCCTCTCTCCGAGGCCTAGAGCAGAACGGCTCCCCTGCCTAAGCAGAAGCCCCGCCAGAGAAGGCGTGGCCAGTGGTCACCCTACTGTCCCACCGGCAGGGAAAAGCAGAGTGGGGCCCATCCTGCCCTCC